GTTTTGTTTTGTGGCAAGTGGAAAGTAGATGGCGGCACTTGAGAAATTGTAAAAGCTATAATGAAAGGCATGAATGTTAATAATTGATAGCAGTGACTTGAATGAAATGATGACCATAATGTTATCTGGCAATGCAATTTTGATGGATACGATTCTGTTGCCGCGTATGGGGGGAGTTGAGGGAGTGTGGCATTTAAGTCGACAGAGAGAGGACTTTAACAAAAAAAAGATAATTAGTTTGGATGGGGAGGGATTGGAAAAGTCAAAGGCCGCATGACAGAGAGGCGATGGGAGATGACGGTGAAGTAAAGGTGCGAATAACAACTCGTCGCAGGGAGGAGACGGTCACTCCGGGAGGGAGAGTGGGGGAGGGAGCACAGGAGGAGTGTCCCTCCCATTGAGCAGAGGTTGACTGGGACACCTGCCAGGGCCTTGTCGGTCGCCGGAGTGGAGAGCGCGCGGAGGGCAGTCGTGTCGAACGTCAAGGCAGAGGCAGGCGAGTTCCGTCGAGGATCGTGGAAAGAGAGTGACGACGACCATGATGAGTCGCACATGCCGAGCCCACTGCCCGTGGTCATCGTAATGGACAAACCGCTCAAATTGTACACCATGCGCTTTGCGTTGTCGGCCAGGAGTTTCGTAACGCGTGCTCGCGGCCCGGTGCGCCCGCAGCGTGCTCCTCATTTCAGCATTTCCCACGCCTCTTGCCGTCGTCAGTGCTATATCCTGCCTCACGCTCAGTCCGAGCCTCGCCTCTACATGCGCTCGCTAGGTCGGGGGGGGGGGGGTGCACACGAGCCACCGAACCCCCCTCCCACCCTTCGGCCATTGATTGATTAACGTAACGAGCATTGCACTCTGTACCCCCTCAATCAGCACCACCGTTGCCGCACATACGCAGGAAGACAACAACAAAAAGACGTCCCCTGCCAATTGTTGAGTAAAAGCACTGGTAATGACTCTAATTGACTGGGACCCGGCGGAGAGGGAAGCGTGCGCCCGTGTCCTGCTCACCACCAGGACACTTGTGTCCTGCTCACCACCAGGACACCTGTGTCCTGCTCACCACCGGGACACAGGTGTCGGGAGTTTGCCTGCCATGCTTTAGGTCGCGGCTTCCGACGCTTGCAAAAAAAAATGAAGATGACTCCACTTGCAGTGGCAGCTCGCCGAACGCCGGACACCGTCGGCGAGGATTACCGGACGACACGGCAGGGGCGGCTCGCGGTTGTGACCGTGTCGCTTGCTGCGTGTGGAGAGGACGCCTCCAGGGCTTTATCCGTAGAGCAGTCTTAATTAAAACGATCGCGTAGCAATGTTGATAATTGCATGAAGTTGAATGTTGAGAGAGGTCATTCAAGGGTAAATGAACGTGCGCACGCACGCGCTGCCATGCTCTGTAAGGATATGGTCATCCCTTAAAGATGTGCACGCGTCATTATATTTTTTGCTTCATGCAGAAAGATCCCTGCCACGTTCTGTTCACACTTCATGTCCTTGATGATTGGGATGATAATGTGTTCCCCGCAGAGTGACGGGTCAGCATTTAGGATGGCTGTGAGCAGCCAGCTCGGGGTTCTTCAAAAATGCTGGCAGGCGTAGTGCGGTGGGAATGTGTTATCACTGAGCACTGACCTGGGCTGGGAAAATCGCTGTATACTGACACATGGTTGATAAGAGGGAGATGTTCTGGTGTTTTTAGAATTGCATTTATGAACATGTAGGAGTCAAGTAGGCGCTGTATCATGCCTATGCACGCAAACGTGTGTGTGTGTCTCTCAGACTTGATTCGAAGCTTTCGTGACTGCAGGAATTACTCTTTGTTTTTTTCGGCAAAGTCACGTTTAAATAAGAAATAATAAAATAACATAATAGCATACGACGTTTCGGTTGCAACACAAGCAGCCATCATCAGGTACAGAAGAGCTAAATTTACGAGAGAGAGGAAACACATAACCCCAGATGTATATACAGACACCCGATTAGGGGGGAACTAACACAGATACAACAGGGGACACAGAGAGAGAAGCATACCAAACAAACATGGTTTAGCAAAATGTGGAAACCATATAAAGCAACACAGACGGTCGGTCAAAACACAATTAACGCATAGTCTGGTTGATTACGCTATTTCAAAGATTGCTAAATTGCAAGTTAAGTTACGTATGTGTACGCGGTCTGTATTTTAAATTTCATACTTAACTTGCAATTTAGAAATCTTTGAAATAGCGTAATCAACCAGACTATGCATTAATTGTGTTTTGACCGACCGTCTGTGTTGCTTTATATGGTTTCCAAATTTTGCTAAACCCTGTTTGTTTGGTGTGCTTCTCTTTCTGTGTCCCCTGTTGTATCTGTGTTAGTTCCCCCCTACTTGGGTGTCTGTATATACATCTGGGGTTATGTGTTTCCTCTCTATCGTAAATTTAGCTCTTCTGTACCTGATGATGGCTGCTTGTGTTGCAACCGAAACGTCGTACGCTATTATGTTATTTTATTATTTCTTATTTATATGTGTGTCTCTCCCCAGCAGTCTGGTATGGCTGGCTATACGGGGATGTTTGTGCGTGTTCTCTTTGTCTTTCATGGAAATAATGAACCGAATGGCGCAGCACAATTTCTTTTTTTAAGTCTATCTGGTGAATTGTGTATTATGGTAGTATAGACACACATATGTATGGATATATATTTATAAGAAATAGTAATTGTATGAATGGGTTAAGTATTTCATTTATTTTAGAACAACAAATCAAGTCCATGTATATCAAGATCGAGGAAAAACGCTACATTATGAAACAAGTAACTGTTGAAATCTCGCCGGCAGTTTATCGCGGTATTGCGAAATATTTTTTGAGTTTTTTTTTACATGCTAAAAAATCCACGCCTGAAAAGATAATCTGTAAATGCGTGCATTTATTAACATTTTGGTGGGCGGGCGATGGTGAGGGGTGGGTTGCCCAGGTTACACCGCTCGTGGACAGGTACGAACAACGTTATTCTTGCCCGGCAAAGACGACAATTCCACACCGGAGCAAATGAGACGGTGTCGTCGGCATTTCGAGAGAGTGGCACGTTCAATGGGAAAAACGCGGCATGCGAAATGCTTTGGCAAAATGACTTGCGCAGCGTTCACAAATGCTCTCACAGCCGCGGTTTGTGCTCCGTTGTGTTGCGCGCAAAATGGTTGGCGTGTTCCGCCTTTCACGCTCCTAACCACGTGAGCCTTTTTTTTTAAATATTTCATTGCGCGATCCATTTGTATAAGCGCGCGCACCCGAAACTAGCGTTGACGAGTGCTTTCCGTCGGGGCTGCTTAGTCACACGCACAGCGTAATGCCGCGTCTCCTTAAGAGATAGAGAGGGGAGGGAGGGGGGCGAGTTGAGCAATCGCCCCGCCTCCTCAACGACCGACGACCACAGGGCCAGACTTGGGAAGCTTAGAACCCCCTTCTGCCTTGCTGGTAGACTGGGGCGGACACGTGGCTTGGTGGCCCCAAAGACAGAAGTGAGAAAGGTATACTGGATGTGGTGTGCCCGGCGTGGGCATTTCTTTTCAAGTCGCCGATGCAGTCCACACGTGGCCGAGGTGACGGCCCTGGACGATTTGGTTTCCACGTCCCTGCGTGTTCTGTCCCAATACGTGCGCGCGTCTCGCACATGACAAAACACGACCAGGTTGGTTTTACAACTTACGAACACTCGCTCGTTTACCCAGGAAAGCCTCGCTGAGTCTCAAGACTTTATTTTTTATGAGGGGCCTGCTAAGTTTATTCACAGTAAGGGGGTTGATGTTCCTCGTGTGATAATCGCAATTGAGTCATTTTGCAGGTGAATTTTCAGCATTGGGATGTTTGGCCAACACTAATGACATTGTGTTGTCCTTCAGCTACGGGAGGGAACCGTATAACTCAGAAGAAACGCACGCAGAAGAAGGGGAGAGAACATACACACACCACACATGATTCCGAGTCAGGAATCGAACCCAGTAATTTGTTGGTGTGAGTCACGGGTGTTACCACTTCACCGCCCTGCCGCCCATAGAATTCAGTGCCGTCTCCGCAAGACACATGGGGCTGATAAGCTCAAGTCTTTTTTTTTTCTTTTCCATACGTGTTCTTCCATATCCTTTTTATTCTTATTTGAAGTGTTTATTATTGTATTATCTACAATTTCACCGCGACAGACGATAATGCATTGTGTAAATTAATTCTGCAGATATACAGCAGAGTTATAATATACTATCAAACTATTAAACAATTATTATTTTACCAGCTAGGGCCCACTGAGCTATATAGCTTTTTCAGAAGTGACCTGGCCACAAATGATAGTTCAACGAAGTGGCTTATGTGAAAATTCATAGCAGTCAAATACTATGAACGCATATTTCTAAATGTGGAGGGAAAAACTGGAGCACCCAGAGAAAAATCCACGTGACCATGGGCAGAATATGCAAACTCCAAATATACACAGGCATCGGGGTCGGGATTGAACTCACGAGGGAGTTAACATCCCGCCACCGTAGCACTGCATTATGTTTAAACCTCCACCCCTTCCCCCGCCTCCAACTCTTGTGGTCACACGAGCGGTGTTAACGACAGAGCTGGCGATTAAATTTCCCGTTGTGCAGCTGCGCCGCCACCGCACACGCGAGAATGCGTTTCAAGATAAAAAAAAAATATCTGCCACATTTTGCTGCGTTTTCATCGGGCAGCGGCAGCGGCAACGGGCGACATAATTAGGCTGCACTCCAACAATGCCAAGAAAGTGCTTTGTCTGCGGAGGTCCACACACACTCCACTGTACCCCCCCCCACCGACTATTTATAGACCGCCATGCGGCCGTCTAATGTGAGTCACAGCCGGTTGGCTGGCAAGGCCGTTTGAAAAGAGTCATGCGGCAGTGTCGTGGTTTGCGAAGTGTCTCGTCTGCTTGTGGTCTGCGACGGTGCTGATCCTGTGCCGGTGGCCGTGCTGCTGGTGGTTGTGCTGCTGCTGCTGCAGGAGCGACTGACGCTTGGCAAGCCATGCGGCGCTTTGCCTACTGCAAGGTGGTGCTGGCCACATCGCTCGTGTGGGTGCTGCTCGACGGGTTCCTGCTGCTCTACTTCAGCGAGTGCAACAAGTGCGAGGACAAGCGCCACCGGGGCCTCCTGCCCGTCCTGAGCGGTGAGTGATGGCACTGGCAGGGTTGAGGTGTGGGAGAGGGGGGCGGAGGCTGGGGCACCTCTGTGAGCGATGACCGTAACGGTTTCTCCGCGTAATGCTTTATGAATCCACCGCTGGATGCAGGCCTTCCCATGCCGTGTCACGCCACGGGAGGTGGTTGACCGAACGTCGCACCCTGGTCAGTGACGGTTGTTGGTGAAGGTCGGTGTCCCCGGATCAGTTTTGATGACACCCGCCATTGATGTTAGCCATAGCCAGGAATCAAACCGCTCCACCCCTCTTAAAGGAAAGGAATTAATGTGGGCCCCCTGTCCAATGTTCTCATCTCTGCATAGCCCAGCACCTGGATCCCTCTGGCCTATGGGCCCCAGTGCAGTTATACCGCCTGATCGCACCCGATCGCTCTCCGTCCTTGTTATCCGTTACATATTGAGTTTATAAACAATCGTGACTTGGGCAAAGGGCCCTTAGAAATCTATTCGATCTGCCCAAACCGCACGTTTGTCTGGAATGTGTCGTGGTGTTTGTTTTGACTGAACGTCCCGTTGACATTTCTATGCCTGTTCTCTGCAGCATCTGGGGATGCTGCTGTGTAATGAGATTCTATTGCAAAGTTTTAATTCTGTTTTTAACTGTTTTCGTTATGAAGGGGGGGGGAAATAAATTTGCGAAGATATAGATGAGTCTTAGTTTCACCACCACCATCATCATGATTAGCCACAATCTCTGCATTCGTTGATGTATTTCGCGGTTAAACAATACAGAAACACTTTTTGGAAAATTGGGCCCCGAAAAATTACAGCTCACACGTTAATTTATTTAAATCGCTGAGCAGATGCGTCCTGAAGTTCTACATTGCCCTCCAAGTCTCATGCTAGATACTAAAGTTGGCATCCTGTGGCGTCTGACGCCAAACCTGATAAATAACAGGCGAATCCCTCTGATGATCGCTAGTGTGTGTGTATGTGTATACAGACGAACTTTATATACGAGATATGTTAGATCACCTGAGAGTAGGCTTTCCCCTTTTTTCTGGCAACAAAACAGTTGTGTTAAGATGTTTAAAACACCAAAGTATAACTTTTTACAAGGAATCATGTCTGCATTAACCACAATACTTGTGGTCAGAATGCAAACAAAGAAAACACTGATAACATATGCATTAAATTTCGATTTAAAGCTTTCGTGACTGCAATGATTCATCTTCTTTGGTTCTTTCGGTAAAGTCACGTAGAATGAGAATAAAATAATAAATTGATAAAATAAAATAACACAATAATATTCTCACGACGTTTCGGCCACAACACAAGCGGCCTTCATCAGGTGAAGGGGGCGAGACTGTCTGGTAGGACAGGGCTCTTTGTTCCTCTCACACAGCTTAAAAGCCGTGATCTGAACGTGGCTCTCTCACTCCAGCGCTGTCCTACCAGACAGTCTCGCCCCCTTCACCTGATGAAGGCCGCTTGTGTTGTGGCCGAAACGTCGTGAGAATATTATTGTGTTATTTTATTTTATCAATTTATTATTTTATTCTCATTCTACGTGACTTTACCGAAAAAACCAAAGAAGATGAACATATGCATTGTCTTTGAAACTGATTGGTCCACACCAGAGACAGCTTTCTTTTGAGCCTCGTCTCAAACGGTGTTAGACCAGAGGACGCCAAAAGGCGAGGGGATTGGTGTGGACCAATCAGTTTCAAAGACAATGCATCATGTTATCAGAGGATGTTTTTTGTTTGCATTCTGACCACAAGTATTGTGGTTAATGCAGACATGATTCCTTGTAAAAGGTTTCAGTTTGGTGTTGTAACATCTTAACACAGCTGTTTTGTTGCCAGAAAAAAGGGGAAAACCTATTCTCATATCTTGTTACTGGCATAGGAGGTCCCATGATGTTAGATCACCTTTCAGGTACAATGCGTTCCTAGAAACCCGGTCATAAATCGGAACCTATATTCCCATTGATAGAAACAGTAAAAACATAATTTGCCGATGTGTTTTTCCTCTAATCGGCCATATCTAACAGGGTTTCAAAGGTAAAGATCCACACAGAAACGCTTGAGAATAACGCAAGCTCCATGCCAAGTCGCATCGGAAACCAACTCCATTCAGATGTGTTTGGAGTCGTGTAGGTAAGATGCGTCGTAAATCAAATTTCTGCGTCGTAAATCGATCCACGGTGGCGTTATATGAACGTCGTAAATGTGGATTGTCGTTAAGCGGAGACCGCCTGTCTTTATTATCTTGATAACCAGGATCAAGCCCCGTGAGAAGTGAAGTTTCTCTGCCAAGGGAGGAAATGGCAGTGCCCTTTATCCAAGAGAAGCCTCGCTTAGTCTCACTATTGGGACGTTTGACCAATTTACTTGCGAATGTTGTGCTTTTGGAAGCAAAAGGGATATACCCAGAAAATACATCTGTATTTAAGAGAATAACATTCAGGAATCCATATGAATAGGTCATTAACACATCTGCTATATTGACATGTAGCAGGGCACAAGAGGAGTTGAGGTTGGCAGTGTTCCATCGAATATTTCCTTCTGAGGGTGTGCCTGATACGTCTGGCACGGCGGCTCCCACGCTGTGACCGGGTCTTGATTCCGCTCGAGTTTTAATGTTTTTCAAGCAATTTCGTTAAAATTGCCGAAACGAAATCTCTCCGAAGGTCGCTCGCCAACGCCGTCATAAATTACGCCAAGCTCGGCATCGGCGCGTGTCTTGGGCTGCGCCCCACGCATGATTTGCGAGTTTGCCGGTAGGGCGGTCGCGGGGGCCTGCGGAGGCTTCGAGCGGGCTCCCGGCAGCTTGCAGAGCCCCCGCGTTCTGCTCGCCGCTAGGCTTGCGTACATTTAGTTTTCCCCCAAGCCGCGTTGCTTGCTGTTGGCGATTACGCGTGTGTGCGTGCGACGGAGACAGACGGAGACAGGTGTGATGGTACCTAAAAGATCCGGTTTGCGCGGTGCAAAGGTGGATGGGAGTGTAAATTGAAATTGCCACCTCCGCAAATCCCCTGTGTTGCCTCGGCCTATCTGAAGCCCCCGCTGTTATATCTCAGGTATCCTGCCATACTTTAAAGTAACGTCGCTGGGTACAAATCCAATGACCTTTGGCGAGATGGAGGTCACGGTGGTTATGGCACAATCTTGTGTCGCGTTTCGCCCGTGCGAGTTGCTGCGTTTGGATTTTTAAAACTTCCCTTCCAGCGTTTAGGCTCAAGGTGGGGGCGACGATGTTTTTCGTTTCTAATTAATTAAGCGGCGACGCCAGCTAAGTTTGAAATTAAAAGCAAAGTCAAATGATTGGAACCCCGCATGCTCAAGCAGCTAAGTGGCCTTGAGGCACTAATTCATGATTAGCGTGGAGGAAGCAACGTTAATACCCAGCAGTGGTCGAGCACTCAAGGTAATGGCCATCACGGACGGCACGCGGCATTCGGCAATCACTCGATTCGTAAACAACAATCTTGCCCTCGCCGAGCCGGGATAAAAACACGCGGAACAAATAGCGCCCGCCCGCTGTCTAGCACTTGTGCACAGCACTACGTGCGCCTGTACAGCAGCCCTCTGCCAATCCACTGCTGGATATGGCCATCGTGTTAAACGGAATAGAAAATGCTCACCTGCCCGTTCTGGCGGTGTTCATATACGTATATTTATTTTAAATTTAAATAAAACCTCCATTACAGTAATATCTTCGCCACATGTCACTGACCGGTAAGGTGAAGTACGGTCAAACAACCCCCCCACCCGTGATTGACAGAGCATGGGGGGAGGTCTTCATTCAACAGTGGATTGATAAAGGCCTGTAAATCATTATTATTGTTGTAATATACCACAGTGTATCCCCGGTAAGGGCAATGACCTTAATATCAATTCTTCAATAAGAACAATATTTCATAGAGCCCCATGGATTACTCTTATATTCGCAGGAATAACATGACAGTGGCACACACCCTTCACGGCAGACTCCTGTTTATGGCTAATTAAACATCTTGGCTTCATGGTGTGCCGAAGGGTCGAATGGCTTCTCCCCTGCTCAGGGCCCCAGAGCTTCGGTTATGATGCAGGGAGAGAGGCTTAAAAAATATTTTTAAAAAATCCTCTAAAAACCATTATTTCTTCATTTTCGTTTGGATGTTTTTTTTCCCGCCCTTAATACACGCTGGCACAGCAGAGAAGGAGGCACTCCGAGTATAAATGGAGCAGTCATTCTGAATGGATGTAATCTGTAAAACTGGGAATGTAAGCTTTATACTCTCGCGGCATTATTTAGGAAGGGGCTATTTCGGACGTCACTTTCTCATTAGATTTCCCATTGAACCAGGGGCAGGTGATGGGCGTTTTTTGTCCCAGGCTAATTTGGATGCTAATTGAATAATGGATGTAACCCGAGCGTTTCATTTCTCCAGAGCTTCCAAAGATTACGCGCCTCGCGGAATGATTTAATGACACTGTTCGGCGTTTTCAGTGCTGATGCGGTGATGTTCCTTTTTAGCCGTCGCGTTCGAAAGCATAAATTGCCGTGAAGTACGGCGCGGAAGGCGCCGCCCTCCTCTCACTCGGCGGAGCTCGCGCTCGCTCGCAAAAATGCGACAGCCCTTCCGGGGTGCCCGCCCGGTGGTTGTCTTTGGGAGCGGATGTCCAAGCAAAATATGATGAACGCTTTCTATATGTTTCTGGGCCTGCGCAGAGACCTGTAAATCTATGGCATGTTTCCTATGAAAGTGTGGGGGGGGGGGGAGGCGTTAATGTGCATGCTGTTGTATGGCCGCGTTACATTACATTAATTTGGGTTTCATTAACCTGCTCGAGTAATAATACAATTTCAATAACACAACTCCTGACGTAAAGGATGACCGCTGCTGGCGCCTGCATGCACGCTTGTCGCTTGGTTGACTCGGCGCAAACGCGGCGCGGGAGGAGATGAAACACGTCTACGTAGCCCTTACGATATCGCCAGGGGGCGAGAGTTTACAAAGCGCGTGCGCGTGCACGTACA